AATAGAACTGTTTAGACGAACCAACAGTGTGACGTTTTTCTCACACTGTTTTCTGCTTTTTTCCAGAAAATAGCATAGATAGAGACTTCAATTTTTCTCTCTTTATTTATTATCCACGTCCGTAATCCTATTTCCAGGTACCAGCTTCGTGATCGATCAAAATTAATTAGAACATCTTATGAGCATATGGTATTTTACCACGTTACAGATGATGAACTTACGGATAATGAGCTATTATCGGACAAAAAACTTCTACAGTTCTTGCAATTCAAGGATCAAAATAATATCACCGATGAAGCCATTAGAATTTTTAATAGAGATCCTCCCGATTCGTCCCATATTCGTCCCTTACTCGATTCGTCCCTGAAAATTTTTTCTCAATTCGTCCCTTGCATAGATGATTCGTTCTTAATTGATTCTCAACTCGTCCCTGATTGTCAATCAACTTTATGTTTCAGTCAAAAAGCTTCAGTCACGGCGAAGTGATCTTATAGTGCTTTCTCTTATGTATTGTATGACGTTCACTTTGGATCACTCTCTATTATATATCGTACGATCTTTCTTCTCTTCCTATCATGCCATCATAGAAACATTTTATTTTTTATATGTTGTTGTCCTTCTTCGCTTAATATATAAGCCCATGTTTCAGTCAAGTATATTCATAATCTATTACAATAACTATGCTGAACTTGCCATGCTTCAATTCACACTATCTGAACGCGATGGAAAAGGTATTCTTTGTTACAATGGATATCAGTTCATCAAAAAAAGGACAAGCAAGGGATCACAAGAATGGCGATGTTGAGATCGAAAATGTTGCAGTACACTCTCTCTTTGCATATCTCTTGCATACTTATGTTCGGTTCTGCATGGAGTTTACGTTTTGTGAAGACATGGTTATCCAAAAAATAATAGAAGACTGTAATACTGTCTAATTCTTGATTATTTCTGTAGTTTAATTACAAACAAATAAATCTGATTGTCCTAATTCCTAATTGGTAATAATTTAGGGACAAATCGGGGAGGAACGAGTTGAGAATCAATTAAGAACGAATCATCTATGCAAGGAACGAATTGAGAAAAAATTTTCAGGGACGAATCGGGAGTAAACCTTTTTAATATATTAGAATTAGAATATGAAACATGTCCTACACTACTTCAATTGAAAAAATTAAGAGCTACACTTAATAAAAATATTCCAATTAGGAAGTGTAATAACGGTAGGTTGTACTAGTCAGAGTTCACTTGTGGGTCTCTTGACTAGACATAAGTGGTGGTTGAACAGGAAAGCTCTGAATACATTATATCAAGCATATGGTATGTCAGCTTTAAACTATGGCTGTACGCTCTATTCTTTGACACCTGACTATAATATTGACAAACTAAGGAAAGTTCAGTATCAAGCCTCCTTGACAGTTTCCGGAGCTATGCGCACTTCTTCTTAATATAAAATTCTACACGATCTTCATTGGCTTCCTCTCAATGATCATTTTCTAAAAATGAGACTAACACTTTTTCGACGCATAATCACAGGACGTGCGCCTGCATACTTAACTGAACATGTTAAGCTTGCTCCGCTGAATACCAGATATAACAGTCGACTCTATATTGTTGATCATTTGAAAGGGACAGCAATTAGACAAACATTTTTTGCATGTGTGCTACTTGAATGGAACAATCTATCTACGGAATCTCAACATCTACTTTTACGACAATGTTCAAAACCAAATTTAACATCTCGATTTTGAAAAACCCAAATAAAAACTACTATCTAAATTCTGATATCCCGTGGCGTCTTGAAGTTTTTTTCACGCGATGTCGAGTAGACTTCCCTCCATTGCGCGAAATACTAAAGGAAAGAAATTTGATAAATATCGGTGAACCGAATTTGTGCGATTGTGGCCAAACTGAAAGTCTTTCTCATTACTTTCTTAATTGTGATATATATAAAACTCAAAGAAGGGAATTGTGCGAATCATTACTGTCTGTTGGATCTTTTAGTCTAGATCTTGTGCTCTTGAGAATTCACAAGGATTTGGACTCGATGAAGTTGATTGCTAGAGCTGCTACAAAATACATCAAAGAAACAAATCGCTTTAAATGATTCATCACTTGCCAAAAAAATCAATTATTTTTATTTTTATACAATCGAATTTCCTCAGATTTGTGTCACCGTTCCCCTACCCTCTCTTAATTATCATTTACTCCTTCCTCTTCATTTCTCTATTTCTTTTGTTGTCTCTTTTACGTCTGTTCACTCACTTGTTGATTATTTCTGTTTTCATTCTTGACGAATTTAGTGCATCATTCAATTTTGTCGCCAAGTGAGAATGTTATAATGAGCAATAGCTCGTCTATGTTCTTACTTGTATTATTATTTTTAATAAAGTTTATATAAAAAAACAAAAAAAACGGTAGGTTCAACTGTGAGGAAGTACAGACGGAAATCAGAGACCGTAAAAACTATAAATCTTTGTACTTTTGCTAAAAAGTTTTAATCAGGTGAGCTTCTGATCCTTGTAAAATGTCGAATAATATGCGCACTTATGTAAAATGATCACATTAGAAACTGTTATTTTTCGTTTACAGGAGCATATCTGAATGTGAACGATGCCGTTAAATTATTAATTCATAGCGATCCATCGGTAATAGATAATGCATCAGATGATCCATATTAAACATAATATGGATGGCACGGCAATAGAGGCATCCACAAATTTTTTGATGTCAACAATCAGTTGCGTTGAATCTGGTATTAATAAACAATCGGCAACAAAAGTTATACCGTTAGGACAATTTAAATTTAACAAGGAAAATCGTAGTGAAATTGAAAGTGTCATCCCCGATGAATTTATCAATATGATGGAAAAGAAATTAGTGTGCTTAAAGAATTTGAAATTAGAATTAGACTTCCAGATGTACTTAGATATGAAAATGATGTGGCAAGTTATGGGATTATACGGTATTGCAGGTAATACAAATTAAACGCTCGATGGAAAGGGTTCGCAGAAAATAAAACTTTAGTAATCAGAATAGCTCCATTTCCTTCCTTCTAGGACAAAACAAGCATAAATGTTCCCATTGCACAGCCGAGAATATGGCTGAATTTGGAAAATATTCGGCGTTTGGCTCGACGAAGGGTGCACTAACATTGGATCAGTAATACAAAGAAATCGGAAAATCTAGACCAGGTTTTGGATACCAGCATGCACCGTTTTTCCACCGAAAGTAAGCTGAACAACCCCTGCGTCACTAGTTTTGACATTGTCTTGTTCGATACCTGCTTCTACTGTTCTTATACTAAATGACTGATTTTGGTTCCAGCTACAAACAAGTTATCATCGATACACTACATATGAAATTAAGAATATCGGACGTACTACTAGCTGAAATAATATCGTTAATAAGCGTAACAGACACAATAGCTGAACGTGCTCAACATTTGAAAAATGTAATGACCTTTTTAGAACAACGAGTAAAGACACCAATGTAAGTTTTAGATTTGTGAAAAATCGATCTGCACTCAGCTAATTTGCATTTTTTGTTTTAGACAAATCATAAATTTACGTTGACGAAAAAGAATGAAATTGAAGTTGCCGGTAGATTAAATGCGCAGATGCATGAACGTTTTCTTTGCGATATTCCATTATACGCTGTTATAAAAGACAATCATAAAGCCTTTTTTTATTCGTAAATTATGCGACGATTTTTTCGATCTAATGAAGTTGTACATTATTACTGATATATACCAACATGTTAAGAAGCAATCAATTGACTGGTGTGAGAGATATAAAATTCTGTTCGGAAGTGATGCTGTCGCCATATATATTTGTGTTTTAGGTAATCATGCATTCGAATTCCACGAAGAATACAACAACCTTGCATTGTATAGTTTGCAAGGTAATGAAAAATTTAATGATATTACTACAAAGGATTTTTTTATGTCAACGAATAAGAGAAATTTTAACGTTCAATTATTATAAAAACGCGTACGCTTACGATTGCTCGACTTTGGATTACAGCCACAAGGTGCGGTGGCACTAAAGAGATTGTTTTTTAATTGGAGTATAAAAGACAGTATTTCTGCCGAAGAATCTATTCTTAACAAATTTTATTTCCTTAATGATGATATTCAACGTATTTATGTACGACTATCGTAGACGATTTTTTTATTTTTTGTTTTTCATGTTTGCAGTTGTTTTTGTTTTGTCTAAAGTCGTTAAAGTTGATTTCATATCTACTCAATGTTCAACAAGAATAAATAGCTGTACAACAACTTGATTATACAGTACAAACTATACTTCGATATTCTCTTTCTGGTTCTCTTCATTCATCATACCTATCTACTAAAAATACGAGAAATAAGAGAGCGAGAAAGAGAGAGGCATTGAGAAAAAGAACGATAGAAAGGAAAAAGCTAGTAGTTTCCACGTAAAACTACTTTTTCGTTTCTTTCTCGAAAACTTGACTTTGCACCAAAAAACGGACCGCAGATTTGGAATCTACGTGCGAAAACGGACCAGAATATGTATACTGTTTTCTTCTAAACCGGACGAAAAATGATTTGCCTGATTCTTACTAAGAATCAGTTACTTTTAAAACGCGTTTGCGTAAATTGGACCAGGCTACCGTCTTGACATCTAAAAATCAGGCGATTCTGTTCAGATTTTTCCTTCTGTTTAGATTTTTCCTTCTGTTTAAGCTGCTGATGTAACGACGTTGCCTACTACGAAAAGGAGTTAATAATCTACTTTTTGTGCCCCGCGAGAGCATACAAATGATTCATATACAAGTAATTGTAGCGTTTCTTAGTATCAGTCTTCCTTTTTTCTGTCGGAATAAAATTAATATTTTATATCTGCTCTATTTTGAACAGGTATACTGAACTGAAGTAACAGCAGTGCTTGATACAAGCTTAGATGGATATTCTTTTTCTCTTTCTGCTCGTTCACACAATAAAATAGAAAAAGAGAAAATGGAAAGAAAAACATATATATTCGGAACGAAAAAAAAAGAGAGAAAGTAATAAAAGGCGTTAGTTTCCACGTAACACCAGTTTTTCGTCTATTTTTCGAAAACTAGATTAGACACCAAAAAACAGACGACGGATTCGGAATCTACGTGCAAAAACCGACCAGAATACGTATACTGTTTCCTTCGAAACCGGACGAAAAATATTTTGCCAGATTTGCTATGATTAAAACTTTAGATTAGGCCTGCGATCCGGCTTATGTTTTGTACGGAGCAAGTTAAAGATTTAACGAGCTTACGTGATTATATCAGTTTTATCTGGATAACGATAACTGAACAGCTCGCAAGCTTTTATGAATAATCGTTAACCATAGTTTAGTTATGAGTGGTCGATGAGAAAGGAGCAGAAAAACGGCGATTGGGGAGAAATGGTGAAATGCGATGAGTAGTCAATGCACTCAGGCTTGTTGATTGGTTTTAATCGGGGTTTGGAGATTTCTTTGGTGGACAGCCTTTTTAAAAGGTCAGCAGACAGTTTTTTTCTAAATAAGTGAAACAATCGTTAATTGAAAAGAATTTTTGAAATGCAGGTAGTATGATCAATGAAAACAGGATTATATAGTTTCGCAATATCGTCTTCGCAGAATATTTATACAATTTATATTTATTATTTATGCCAAAACCGTGGGTGGGGGCCCCTTCCTGCAAAACATTAAGAATAGCACTTTTTTGCAATTCCTGAAAAAGATCCTCCTTGATTTCTACCAAGAAGACACTTTTTCGGCTCCAAAACAGTTTGACTCTGTTTCCGGCTTTGATGTGGAAGAGACGAACGTTGGCTTTATTGTAAAAACAATATTGGTTTTCATCCTATATTTGAACTGCCCAAGGGTACTACCATGGTACAAATACGTTTATTACATTAGCTAAGTTTTCAGCTAAATCAGGGATATTACGTAATAATATTGACTTAAAACTCTCATTTTGAATGTAGTCAATACCTAGCTGCGTATAAGTATCGGCATTATAATATTCTTGAAAGAAACGATCCGTTTCTATACGACGAGATGCCATAATAATGAAGATTTGAAACGCTGTATTCGAAAATCCATAACCAAATGGCCAATTAGCTTCAGCCATTAAGCCAACTAGTACATCAACCATCTCTATATTATTTTCATATATGTTAACTAACTGTTTTGCTTCCCCTTCTGTTACACTTAAATTAGTAAACGAGATAAGTGGTTCCAATTTTAATTGACGACGAAGTTCATTATAGCGTAAACCTAATCGTTCACGATCACGCACAATATCGATAACACCTAGATTAACAATCTTCTTGTTATTTAGTTTTACGTGCGTCAAAAAATCGGGATAATTGTTGAATACTAAATGACCAGAACGTGTATAACCGAACGTGTTAATCCAATTTTCTATACTAAAACGTTTTAATTGCTTTTCAGCATTTTTAAATGTTAACTGTGATAATAGAATCTTTGCATACTTGTTTTTATTCTTAATATTTTTCGTTTTTATCACTGTAATATAATCCGGTAAGAATGAATGCATACGGTATACTGATACAAATTCTTCACTCATAGCATATGGATTTCCGTATAAATTACTTACACAGCCTACGCCTTTTTGTGCTTGCTCTAAGATAAGTTTTGCTGATGGTGGCACACCCAACTGAAGCAATTGCTCTACCGTATAATTAAATGCCTGACTAATACCATACCAGTTAACGTTCATACCTGCCCGTAAAACCGCATTATTTAAAATAGCAGGAGTCCATTCAACAGTATGAATCTTCGAGCTGTTCATAAATGACAACAACTAATTTTTTGTGGTTACCTGCACCCCTATGATATTATGAAAACTCTATGCCTTTCAAACGCTTGTCCTATCGCCGCTCTGTTTTTAATTTGTGAATTATCCAAACATTTCTATACGACAAACTTATTATTATTATTATTCACAGACACAGGGCATTCGATTGAAAAATGGTTTATACCCATGCTTCTTTTTTAAGCCACAAGAGTTTGGTTCTCATATCCTTTTAGTGCATCGTTTGGAACTAAACAAAGTTTCGGTAAAGTAGGTAAAAAAGTAAGAGCGGCTCTATCGAAGTAAAATTAATTTTTAAAGGAATTACAGAAATCGTCGGATTGTTAGCTCAACCTATTCACAAACGTGCATCTTTTAAATTTCCTTTAAAGTAGAAAGATGACACCGTTACATTCTATTGTCAAGATGGTATATGGAAACACATGTGAAAGGTGCGATTTGTTCGGACTTGCTACTGAAATATTTTTTCATTAAAAGATAGCCGTGAGTCAAAGCTACAAATTACCTGCAAACATCTTATGTATTTTCACGAAACTGCGAGGAAATAAACTACTTTAAACACGGTGGAAAAAAGAGACATTTTTCTCTAAATGTTACCGATATCTATTTCTACTATTAAGTTCGACCAATCCAAGGAAAAAGCCGAAGTTTGCACCCTCAACATTTTTCTAAAGGATGTAGATCTTATGGATCTACATCCTTTAGAAAAATGTTGAGTCCTAAACAAGTATCCATTTTGAGATGCATGTCTTCAGAGTTAAGAAAACGTTTGGCCGTTCCCTGAGATATTTCTGAAAACTAGAACACATCAGTTTGCTTATTTAGGTAGTTTCTGTGGAAATGAAAACACACCCATCTTATACTTTACATTTCACGACGAATAAAGTTTTGCAATTGATTCACACTTTATTCTTCCAGTTTGCTTATACAAAGACCGTATGCAATGCCATCGATCATATCTCAAAACATCTTAAAAAAGAATAACTTCAACTTTTGATAAACCTTCTTTTATACTTATCGTTTGTGAACAGCCCTTTTAGCTAGTATAGCTGCTATGATTATACGCACATGTTGGAAAATTTGTTCATCATTCCATGTGGGATATTCCTTAGATAATTTATCAGCTAAATAATTATGTTCAGCAAAAAAAATACTATGCATTAATGATAAACCAATCCACCAATTATTTGTCACTGACGTAATAGGTAAACCAGTTTTTCTATCACGCTTCAGATTTAACGATTTCTTACCCACAACTAGTTTTCCATTTCTAAATGTACGTACTAATTTTTGCTGTGCTAAGTTAGAACCATAAATCATACTAGCATCCCACCAATGTGTAGCGTAATTTAATGTATATCCATCAGGATCACGTAATGTAGGCGGAATTTTTAATTCGGTACAATTATTTCCGTTACAGTTCAGTTTCGGAATTTTAACCCTTTTAGTCCCGACGACTCCTTAAGGAGTTACCCATGTTTTTCTTTTCAGCATTAAAGTATGGACTTAAGCTGATTTTACAGTTCAATAGAGGTCAACAATATCTTCAAATTGACATATCGAACTACTATGTCTTACGGTCACACATCCTCCCACAATCTCCTTTTCTGTGATATAGTGACATTTGACATTTTCCTTTAGTACTATTCTGCGTATATTGGATTGTACATACCAAGTTGTATTGTATTGTATATATATATATGGATTGTATATACCAAGTGTCGATACAAATAACAGAATACGCCGAAGACAATGTATTGTATGTTCATCACACCAAATAAGAACACAAACAACTTATATTTGTGCAGAGTGTGATGTTCCTCTTTGTGTTCCTGTTTGCTTTAAGGATTATCACACAAAACTGCATTATTAGTTAGAATTTCTTTGTATTCTCATAAAAACATCTTTCCTTTTCTTTGAAATACGAAATACAAATGAAATAAAATTAGAAATTTAAAAAAATAATTTTTCACTTCTTCGAAAAAAAGCCGGGACTGAAAGGGTTCATAGTTGGTGCATTATTATCGATTTTATGTAAAAACCAATCGTGTATTTGAAATTGTATCCAACCAGCTGCCAATAAATTAATATTAGGGGATTTTATAATCTTTCCGTTTCTTCGTTTCATTAAATTACTTAGTTTTAATGGATTAGGATATAAAATCATGTTTGATTTATTTAAGATTTGTTTAGCTGTAATATTAGTATTGTGATCAAATCTATCCCTATACATACCCATTGAAGGAATTTTTAAATTATTACATTGACCATTAGGAGAACGATATCTTAAGTAATTACCCGTACAATTAGTATTTAATAAAGGATAAGTTTGATTAATTTGAAAGTAGAGATCAAAAATATTATTTTTGTATAAATTAATACGCACTTGACCCAAATATAGTACACCAAATAAAATAGCTGGAAAAGTGCCAACTCCTGAATACCAAATTTGGTAGCCAGTCGAAACAATAGCGGACATTACTAGTACAATACTAAGGAGATACAAACGTTGTTGGACAGCACTGATGAATGCTAGCTGACGGTAACCGTGACTATTGAATGATGAATAGATAAATAGATGATAGTAGACTGTATTAAATATATATCGTAACTTCATCTAGTGTGCACTTATGTCGTGTCGTTGCGCTTGAATACATCTAGAAAAAGACTAATACAAAATATTATAAAACACTGATTTATTTTAACGCAAGCATTAGATCAAGTCATCATAGCAGATTATTCTGTCTTCAAAAATTCAACTTCATAAATCATACATTTATGAAAGTTGTAAAAAGTTTCATAAAATTTTTCATTTTTATGTAACTTCTGGGTTAACAAATTTTTCAACATCCAGATTTCCTAAATTTTATAAAACTTGTTTCCAAGTTTCATAAATGTGTGATTTATGAAGACAGGGTATTCGACTGTAAAAATATATAAACATCATTTCTCATTTATCCTAATACCTGTGTAGTTGGGATATCCTGTCATGAAACTTGGAAACAAGTTTCATAAAATTTAGGAAATTTGTATGTTGAATTGATTAATCCAGAAGTTACATAAAAATGAAAAATTCTACGAAACTTTTTACAAGTTTAATATGGCTATGGATATTTAATGGTAGCACTATGTGTAAACTCATAATATTTATTTATTCAACACAAATTATTTGTGTATTGCAAACTTTTCGAGTCATCGACTCATCATCATAGAAAATTTAACCATGTACAATGTAGATAGAGAAACATTGACGTTACACTTACATTGTACGTATAAAGAAAGATAGGAGAAAAGTGCATGTATATAAATTTTATCATATGTGTTATCTATTATAGGATAAGAACATCAAGACCAAAAACATATTTACGACAACTGTCTAAGTAAAACTAGTAGAAGAACGTGGAAAGAAAGAAGGAGCATTAATTTTTCTTTCTTACTTTAAAAACTTTATATAGAAAAAGTGATACTGATCTATCAGTGCCTTAAATTGAGGAAAATTTTTAGAAAAATCTTATAGCCAAGAATTCTCGTATTAATAATCTGTAGTTTCTATTATCATGAGTCAATATATTTATTTTATTAAAATTGATTGAATAGCCAGTTTGTAGAACATGTTTACCTACCGCTGATTTAGGTTTATAGTCTGAAGTTGATTCACTCACAGAGTAATTAGTTTGTGTCAAGTTTTGTTGAGCTATTCTTTGGCTACGTCGTAAATCGTTAGTTTCTTTCAAATGCGACCATGTGAGATATTTTTGTTATTTTTGTTTTTATTTTTATTAATCGCAGTACTTAAGCAACGTATGTGAGTGAATCGTATTTTAGTTGTACAATTTGTGGGAAAAAATGAAAGTAACTTTATCAAAAATCTGAGTAGACCAGATTGTTCCCCTTAATTTTCTGAGTACCATGTAAAAATTTCCAAACTACCAAAGGTCTACCGGCTGAGATAATAGAGGTGCAATTTCCTAATGTATTAAATTAGCGGTGACCCGTGATATTTTCAAAATAACTTTTAATAGAAACAAGATAGAGACCTACAATTTACGCAGGACACCTCTAGGCAGCATTATCTACTAGCTTAGGAGCAACTGGGCGAAAAAAATTACCTGCAGGTGGTGTACCTGTTGGAAAAAAAATAGAACAATAAACAGGCGCGAAATATCTCAAAAAAGATCTAAACTTTCGTGCGAAAAAGCTCACAAGACCGAAAGATATTGATTTTGAGATTTTCCGAGGTTTTGTGAGGTTCAGACTGGAAAACCTGATGTGTGAGGTTTCATTGTTTTCCCCCAAAAGATATTTGGTCGATTGATCCGCGAAAAAAGTCTGAAAACCACAACCGCGAAATGGCTTATTGGTAAATACTTCCAAAGCTATTGTTTTACGTAGTTCTGTTTGCTCTACTAGAAAGAAAGTAAGCACGAGAAGTAAACACGAAAGTAAAATACTTTTGTGTGTTCTCCGGAGTGTTTTTGATGCTCTATCTCATGGTGGAATCAATTTTACGCTTAAGTGCTGCCTAAATCCGTCAGACCGATTTTGGCGTCTTCCTACAATTTGTACGGAAAACTTAATTCTCCAAAAACATCGGTGCCAAAGTGCTGAAGCGAAATCGTAAATGATATGGATGGGTAGAGAATTTTGCGCTCTACACGATCCACTAGTCTGCTTTTTCTTTATCATCGATCTTTGGCGTGAAAATCGCGTTTTTAGTCATGCTGGTCAAGATAAAAACGCGTTTTTCTGCTTTTTCATGCGTGTATCTCACTCACCTGAACACATAGAATGCTCAAAACTTTATCGGTATATAACAGCCATAAACACAATATTGTGTACTGTCACAATTATCGACAGGGATTGAGGAGGTGTCCCAAAATGTCATAGACGATGGATATATCACGATTGATGCAAAGCGAAAAAGTGGCAAGCAAGGTAACGCTGCAACCACGATTGATAGCGATGGAGTATCAATTGAAACTCGTCGCTTTGCCGAAACACGGTATCCATTCTCTCCTTGTTTTGTCAAATTTAAGGAGGATATTAAAGGAAATAAGGTGATTAATGGATTGAAACAATATATGGAAGTCAATTATAATGTCCAACTGGAATTCGAGGGTTGCAAATTAAAAGGTAAACAAGAATTACTATTATTCGTTAAAAACCGCGAATCTTTCGTTGTCCTTTTTGCATCGACGAACTGACCATCGACATTTTATTATGCTCCGTAACGTTGCTTCAGACGTGGATACGAGTCAGCTATTAATGGAATTGCAATAAGATTATCCGGATATAATAAATGCATCACGCATATTCAACAAAGACGATAAACAAATGACACTCGTTAGATTGGATATTCAAAGTCTTAAAATCATAGCTGAATTATTAAGAAAAAATTTGTATATTTGTATCATACACGCCATCCGGTGAGTTAATATTTAGTCCCTGCCAAAGGGTTGAACACTTCAGTAGCAATTGTCCACAACAGCGGAATAGATGTAAAATATGTGGTTTGGAAGTAGATGATCTTAAGAAACATCGTGAAGAAGTTTGTGATAATCTGTCAAAATGTGTAAGATGTAATGAGAGTCACGATTCGAATGACAACAGATGTCCAACGATTAGATCTTAGCGTTCCATATTAACAAAACAATTATTAAGAACAACCGAAACGAAACAGGTCAAGGACAAGGATGAAGGAACCGCATTTCAACATAATAATAATGATTTTCCCCAATGGATGCGATGGCGATTGCGATGGTGAGCATCAATCGTAACAATAGAAACTGATGGGTAGATGGAAATAATGATGAACGGTTATCCAGATTAGAAAAAAATGTTGACAAGAGGAGTGAAGAAATTAATAGACTACTAAAGGTTGCAGAACAACATGATGAACAACTACGTCAAATGCAGCATGTAATCCCGCATCAAGAAATTCGGCTAGAACAACATGCTCAAAATTTAGCGCTACTTAACGTGGATATTAAATTTCATAACGAATTTTTAGGTCAGTTTATTACCCCAGTCTGTCAAGCGGTGCTTATTCCAGTATTAGTCAATAAACAAGCGCTGAATACGGACACGACAGCTTCACTAATTAGCCTATATGCCAAACTCGCGGATGAACCGGCAACGTGGAGTGGAAGACAAGAGAAGGACAGTATAGAAAAAAGAAAAATTCTTGCAACGATAGGAACATTGTTAGCAAACAATAAACAAACGGTATGATGTTTTCTCCAACAGCCACTCCGTTTTTTCCTAGTGCATCTCAAAAGACGAGTTCATTTGGCTTTGATCATGCCTTACAATTCGCTAAATGTCATCTTTCGCATTGTGATTTTTCTTTATTATCAAGTATTGTAAAGGATTGAAACTCCTATCCTGTGTTACACGGTTGTCTTTCGGAGTGGAATGCATGCGCCAACGCTAATTTATGGCCTTCTATCGCAAATTTTAACGTACTCTTGTTTAATGTACGTGGGTTAGCGGAAAGAGAGGAAAGAGGTTTTACTCTTATTTGAAAAGCTAAGTCAGATTGTTTGACTTTACTTGAATTCGGTGCTGTCGATCTCTCTTTTATCGCGCAGATCTTTGCTGGTTTTTGTTTTTTCTATCAGGTTGGCGAGAATAGTTGGGGAGGAGCAGACGTGCGTGATTACAATTACAAAATGTAAAGTTCAAACATTGCTATTATCTGTAGAATTCTGAACTTTACATGTATGTAAAGCTGAACTTTACTTGTTCAAAATTCTAAAATTTCTAATTCTAAGGGCGACTGTGAGAATGAGCGTGAATATGCAACTTTACAAGTTCAGAATTCTAGAATTCTGGATTCTACAGATAATAGCAATGTATGAACTTTACATTTTGTAATTGTAATCGCGCAGCCCTCGGGAGGAGTTTTGTTAGTTTTTCGTCGCGGAATCCAATGTTCACGGGTACCGTGCAACATTCCCAACGTATGTATCGTGGACATAAAATTAGAACAAACCATTCGCATAGTGGATGTTTATACTCTCAAAAGCAAAACATAGCTATGGAATGATCTTTCTTTTTTGGTATCGTCGTACTGCGTTTTTTTTTTGGAGATTACAATATTGATTTCGAGGACCCAAAAGATAAGTCGGCAGCTGAAGAACTTTTAGACTGGGCAGATAACCTTCTGTTATATCCTGTTCTTACGAATAAATCTACCTCCCTACGCTCGGATCGTTCAATTGATTTTGCATTAGTTCTGGACTACCTTTAGTACTTCAATGTTTGGGTTCTACTACCTCGAGCGATCATAACCGGTCTGCGGAGTCATAAGTTGTGAGGGAAAACAGTTATCTTTTGGTAGCAATTTTCACTGGGGGATTTTTCATTATTTTCTATCTTTTGTTAGTGAGTTTTGGTCTAACCAATTTAAGTATTCGTCTGCGGAAGAAAGTTACTCTAACTTCGTCTCCTTTCTTTCTGCTGTGAAAATTCGTTTACTTTTTTTTCTTTCCGGCATCCATATACTGACTCAGTCGTGTCCAACTGGGACAACGTGAACGAAACAATTCTCCCGATAACTCTTCCTAAGCTTATGAAAGCTGTATCTAAATGTAAAAAGAAAACTCCCCTTGATTCCTATGGAAAAGTTTTAAACATCTAAGAAAAGCCAGTTTTACGAAAATTAGGGTTTTCAGGCTCTTTTCACCTAATATTAAAAAATTCAATATTCACTCAAAAACCATCAGCATAAGCTCAAAACCTCAGGATATGATTAATGTTGTCCGCTAAACATGATTATAAGACCGAAGAAATCTCGAATACTGTCAGACGTTGATAATGCGCGAAGACATAAATGGAAACTTTCCTTGTTGGGGACTTTTCGATCCGGTTCCAAGCCGGCACCTTATTTTCGAATGATACCCAATTAGCCCTATCCAACATCCATCTGTGGACATCCTTCACTATGATAAGTTAAAATAGAAGAAAGCCATGGTAACCGGTCACTGATTAATATTGTGACGCCTTTAGTCCTTGTCAGGAGTAGACCTGTGCGCCGGTCGGAAAATCGGCGGCGGCGTGTAACAGAAGTTTTTTGACCAGCGGCGGCGGCGGAACCTCATTCAAAGATTTTCCGCCGTCGGCGGAGGCGGCTAAATGAAAATGTTCAATCGGCGGTGGCGACTGAAAGATTATTTAAAGATTTTGATCGTCAGCGGAGGGATCAACCACAACCAAATTTGAGTACAAAAAGCTTTAGTTTAAACCAAGATCCATTGTCAAGTTCATCAAACTTTTATTTTATTTTCAATCAAAATCTAAAGTTCAATTTTGTCTAACTATTATCGAAAAAATCTGAAGAAAGAAGAGTATTAACAGTATTAAACAGAAAAATACCAAGAAACAAAAGCTGCTCTGTTTTTAATCCTTAAACATACTGTAATTATCATGTATGTATTGTATCTTACCCAAATTTTCTGGTCCTAAACTGACATGTTTATGGGATGTTTGGGTACCACGTGGACAGGTTTTTTGATATTTTCGGGCCCTTTCCTCCCTCTCGAGAACATTCGGCTACTCCGACCACTCACTCACCCTGCTCACATCGCCAGAAATTTTTTGAAACTTAAACTTATAAAAATGGCCAATTTTTTTTCATTCATAGGAATGTTTTATTATGATATTATTCTCTCTTTATAGAATTTATCGTGGTTTCGTGCTTTTGCTGAGAAACAACATGATAGACTGAATAAGTTTGATTTGGAATATTAAAGCACTGCTAATGAAAATTTGCTTTTTCATCAGCAAACTGAGCTTGCATTTAGAATCAATACGTAAAAAACATTCTCGCAACTTTAGAAAGGTTTTAAGTTTCCCTTCACAGTCCTTTGTGCCTTTCCATTTTCTCCTAGAAGCCTAATCATCATATGAATGACTTGTGTCTATTCAGAGATTAGATGACCTATGAAGCATCTAGTTACAGTTATAGATAATTTGAAACTACAATGAGACTAATAACTCATCGAAGTTCACACTTCAACAAGTTAATGAGAAAAATGACGAAATTTGATTCGAAAATGAATGTTACTTATATTACTTTGCTTTAGCAAAACAAAACAGGTGAATGAAAATCATGCATACCACACTAAGGCGTATAGAATGTGCCTTCAAATAAGTATTTGCTTTACGTGTTTCAAATGACGGCATATAATTATATAGATACGGTAAAAACTACCATTGTACAAAACATTTGTAGATATGTTCTGCTACAGGACACCGTTCTTTTGCTGGACACTTTTAAGCGCCTTAAATTAGACACATTATTGTTTTACTGTGTAGTAGTCTAAATCTCTATAAAGCGTTGTTGTGTATGAGACCAATAATTATGGCTAATAAATATTCTTATCTTATATCGGTAATGCCTATGCAGATATAGATGACAGAGACATACTGAACCAGTGATTCCGTCTGTTTCTCATGATTTTTTCACGCAAAACGTTTTCTATCGGCGAAGGCTAAAGCAAGCTTTTACGGCGAGAACCTCCACAAAACTTGGAGGCCTTCGGCGGCTGCACAAACATCTAACTTATCCATCGACGGCGGCGCCGGAAACCTTAGTTATCCATCGGCGCGGCCCACAGGTCTAGTCAGGAGGGTTTCTTGACTTCTGATTTTTTTAGATCAGAGCGATGACTAATGTAATTCTTTCCTTCTATTAAACAGTTTTGAAATATTTTTTATTTTTGAAACAAAATATGGAGATCCATGAAGATCTAGTTCTGAAGTTTTGTCAACAATTTTTCTAGGACTGCCGCAATACCAGGGTTTTATTCAAATGCTCTTTCTTCCATTCAGAAAAATCTACCATTTGGAAAAATATCTCCCAAAACTTCTTCAGGAATATTCAAAAATTTTGCTTATTGTCTCCGAAATTGTATGAGAGACCATGCTTTTTGTCAACTTTCTGACTGGTTGATTTTGTTAGTTTACTATTTTGTTACGTTCACATGCATTTTGACTATGATACGATCAACAATTCGTTTCATATATTGGGAGAAAAAAAAATAGAGCCATCTAACTGCTTCGTTCGAGATAAATATAGCGAGTGCGTATAACATTAGAGTTTGTAATATTGTGGAATGGTTTCTCGCATTTTTCTGTGTCAGCATCGATTTCGAGTAAAACAGCTTCATAGCCATCGCGGCTGAACCAGTTTTGAGCAATCTCATTGCAACATATTTTTTTGCTTTCACGTGTGGAGAGAAAATAGTTAATAGGAATCCAGCAATGTTTCCTTTTAGATTTTCAAACTCCTCCACTGCCGTCCCTTGTCCTCTATAAAGAGTTAGAACTTTGGCAACATTGAACGACTTGAAATCGAGTCGTTCGAGTTGATTGTGAAGATCGTAGTTGAAATACAATGTCAATGTTTTGAACCCGAAGAACTTTATTTAGCATTCGATACAAAAAGCAGTCTCTTGTGTAGCACCATATGGCACGATTCGATTCATACATCTTGTAAAACTCTTCAACATAAGCTTCCTTTTCATTCTCTTAATACAGTTTCGATGTTGCTTAATCAGTTCTTGTTTGCTTCCATCATTACTGTCTATCTGAAGTAAAATCTCCATGAGTAACTGGAAATACATGAACGATGCCTCTTGTTTCTTATTGTTACTGTTGGATGATGAGAGGACGCTCATGGGTTCGCTCATATTCTCAGAGCAAACGTGAACTTGTTGTCCTAAAGCCTCACAAGTATATTTCATTTCTGTGTACACACTGTGTACTTTTCGAAATTTTGTGACCCATTTTTCCTGCCACTCTTCATTTACGCAAAACACGTAAATACATTGAACTTATTTTGTGCCGTGAGTGAATGGAACCGCCGTTTACTTCGGTGGGCCAAAAACGATCAAAAATACTTTCCCGGTTCAAACAAGTTTAAATTATGTGCGTTTAAATTCTTTTATCATGTAAAGCACGCGAGTGCACGACTTTTGTATGCTTGGGGTGGAACAGGGCTACTGCTGATCACCGTATTTCATGAACAACGTGAACTGATCTAGCTAAGACCTACTGTCATCCGTTTCAAACTTAATATAAAAACTTTTGGCATTTTATATTTAAAATAGTGTGGCTTAGTAAAGAATTAAAATTTTTTAAAATAAATCACTGGATAGAGT